ATCCTTTGAGGTATTTTGGTGCCATCGCTTTTTGTCAGATTCAGTTACATTGTTAATTTAAGGGAAGATATTTGGTTTTGCTAGTATAAGTGTTGTTAAAGAGTATATAGCATTTTAAAGTAGACTGTCACTTTTTATTGGGAGGGGCTGCAGTGGGAATCTTAAGTATTCAGTGCGACTGATGGTGTTGGGTTCAGATTCACCACTCTCGCTGTACTTGTTTCAGAACGACTCCTGACAGATAAATGAACCTTCTCTGCTGTGTTACTGCTGAATATGAGAGTCCCTCAGCTAACCTTGGCTATCCAGCAGAGATTAGGCACATAAATAAATGAGTAGTTTTTCTACGAGAGGACTTTTATATCTGTCCTTGACGCAGCTTGCCTTCTTAAGAGGCTGAGATGCTGGAGGATTGAGCTGCTTTCTAATTCTGCGGGGTGTTCTGATGGGGGACGGGATGTCATTATTCACCACGGCTGTGGTTGTTAATGAGTGTGTCAGATGAGAGTATGCTCTTCTGAAGGGAAGCGGAAACATTAGGAAGAGGAAGTGGAAATTTAAAGCGATAGTTCACCCAGAAATTAAAATTCTGTCATTAATTACTCACCCTCATGTCTTTCCAGACCTGTAAGACCTTCGTTCATCTTTGGAACACAAATTAAGAAATTTTTGATGAAATCCGAGAGCTCCATAGACAGCAACACAACAGACACGTTTAAGGCATGCATCGTGGTACTCTTGTGAATGCTCATCGACTGCCACGTTAGAGAAGAAATTGTTGAATAAAGTCGTTATTTTTGTTTTCATTGCACACAAAAAGTATTCTCGCAGCTTCATAAAAATATGCTTTAACTGATGTCACATGGACTATTTTAACGATGTCCTCACTACGTTTCTGGACCTTGAACGTTTCAGTTGCATTACTGGCTATGCAGGGTCAGAAAGCTCTCAGATTTCATCAAAAATATCTTAATTTGTGTTCCAAAGATGAACGGAGGTCTTACGGGTTTGGAACGACGTGAGCGTGAGTAACTAATGACAGAATTTAGATTTTTGGGTGAACTATCGCTTTAAATTTCCACTTCCTCTTCCTAATGTTTCCGCTTCCCTTCAGAAGAGCATACTCTCATCTGACACACTCATTAACAACCACAGCCGTGGTGAATAATGACATCCCGTCCCCCATCAGAACACCCCGCAGAATTAGAAAGCAGCTCAATCCTCCAGCATCTCAGCCTCTTAAGAAGGCAAGCTGCGTCAAGGACAGATATAAAAGTCCTCTCGTAGAAAAACTACTCATTTATTTATGTGCCTAATCTCTGCTGGATAGCCAAGGTTAGCTGAGGGACTCTCATATTCAGCAGTAACACAGCAGAGAAGGTTCATTTATCTGTCAGGAGTCGTTCTGAAACAAGTACAGCGAGAGTGGTGAATCTGAACCCAACACCATCAGTCGCACTGAATACTTAAGATTCCCACTGCAGCCCCTCCCAATAAAAAGTGACAGTCTACTTTAAAATGCTATATACTCTTTAACAACACTTATACTAGCAAAACCAAATATCTTCCCTTAAATTAACAATGTAACTGAATCTGACAAAAAGCGATGGCACCAAAATACCTCAAAGGATTTCAGTCTGTGCGATGCAGCCTAAAACTAGAGAAAAATGCCTTATAATTTCAGGCCAAGACTTTTCATACAGTGGCAGCCCTCAGAGAGGGTGTTTGGTACAAATATTTGGGTGGATCCTTCGGAAAATGACATCACAGGAGTAGATTTTTAAGTCAGCATGAAATCAAAATGAACCCTATTTACTTTCTTCATGACAAATCCTGTTTCTTTCGGCAATGCATTACATTACGCAAATTGGATGGGTTGACAATGCAGCTTCATGCTGACTATAAGTAGTAATGGTATATTTACTAACGAAGAAGTACTATGGTGTTACCATGTTGCATGCTAATTAAAGCACCTCCACTTAAAACATAATTTGAAACTACAAAAATATAAGAAATAAATTGGATGACTAATCAACCATCCCCATTAAATATCAAGTGTCTTTGCAACGCATCACATTGCGCAAATGAAATGAGAATTCAGTTTAATGCTGACTGTAAGTCATAATGTCGGTGTATTTACTAACAAAGACGTACTATGGTACTACAATGTTTTTTTTGGACCCCAATGCTAAGGGTTTTGGACAAGTATCATGTTAATACCATGGCATTATTTGAAGTGCCATCGAAATGGTATACCTTCATTGTGCAATAGTACCGCCACAGTACCTCTTTAAGGACAGGAAGCTGTAATCTTCACCGTCACATCCAACCCTCCTCTTGTACAGCAGGGAGTTTTTATCAAGCTGTGTGTTAATCTGCTCTGCTCAGCAGCGCCAGTGAAGAGGTGGGTGTATGCGCGACCTCCTCACCTGCTAAACTACCTTTTCAGAAAGAAATCTAGCCTCCCACACAAATGCCAGCTATACCAGTGAGTCAGTGCACTTAAGAACCTGTTATTTTGAATTTTATCTCCTGGACACAAGTGATTCCTCCACAGCAAAGAGGATTCATTTCCCATGTGGAAGATAATACTGCTTTTCAAATTGGACTGTGAGATTTGAGAAAGAGCCATTAACGGATTTGAAAAGTGGTGGGAAAAGCAGATTACCCAAGCTGGTCTCCTGAGAAACCTGAATCTGCCAATACACAGACAAGATGCTAATTATCCAGACTGTGTGACAGAAAAGACAGCGGAGCTTGACAGCAACAATACTCAATACTGTTAAATACTGTTAAAGTTAAGGGATCATGTATGTGATGCACTGCAGTCCATTTAAACAGAAGAATGACCATTGGCTGGCTAAGCAGGTCTAACAGGTTTTTATATGCCGTCCTCTTAATTTTGTGACTACTCGGTTTGCACCATATGCAAAGCATTTCCAGTGGATGAAGAAATCTGCTTCCAAACTGGCAACTTTTTATGTTTGTTTATGCAGCTGCCATCTGTGTGTCCCGAGAAAGATTAAAGAGCAAAATGACAAATGCACATATGCATTATTTATCAGACAGCCTACAAGAAGTGACAAGTAGTTTGAAGTGAAAATCGGCCATTCAGTGACACGAGTTAATCTGATAACAATTTTCAGCCAATACAGTTTATTTTGGCAATACAAAGAAGCTCATTTTCCAAATTGTACCTATTCAAATGTAAAACTTTTGCTCTAAATATGTGCAAGACTCATGTCCATCATGACTTTGCGTAGGGGTTCTGATCACCATGTTGGGTTTATTGTGCGATAATAACCAGATTAACTGTACTGTAGGTGTTACGATTTCGTTATGTTTGTATATTAATTTGTTTGTGTTTCCCACTAGATCTTGATTGGTCTCCCTTTCTGTCACTCATCATGGGTCTCCGTTGTCTCCGTTGACGCCTCCCCGACGGAAGTATAAAAGGCGATGTCGCATCTGTTTTCGAGAGGAGGCTGGGCTGTGTTTGTGTGCCTCTTTGAAATTATTGTAGCTTTAAGTATGCTTGCTTTGTTACCGTTTATGTTGTTGATTTGTCTTATTCTTTATTTTACCCCATGTATTTAGGTTTGTTAATCGATTTGAGCGTGGAGTGTGTCCGTGCTCTTTGCTTATATGTTGGGAAGAGAGCAGTATAAGATGTCACGTGACATACATCGCGCTTCACGTAGTTTATTTTGATGTATTAGTTCATTAGTTTAGGAGCGTTGCCACCCGCTGTAAGTTTTGGTTTAGTAGTTAAGAGTAGTTAAGTTAGAGCGTGCGAGTAGCACGCTGAAGATGTTGTTTTGAATTTTATTTTGATTATTCTAGGTTAGATTTAAATTCTTTAGTTAGAAGAATTTTGTTTTAATCTGTTCTTTGATTTGGCAACACTCGTGCTCTCTTCATTACTTCCTTTGGCGAGTTTGTTAATCTTCAAGTCGTTTTCTATTTGTCTGTTAACTGGAAATATATATATACTTTTCCCTTTTGGATGAATTTAAAGCCTATATTTCTTGGTGTATTGGTTGGGGTTGAAATGAATAAATGTCTTTTCTCTGTTTGAACTTGTAGCGTTCTCCTATTCATGACTTGCCCACCGTTTGATATGCACTATTAAGATCTAAACTAAATGTTATTATAGAGGTTTATGAATGTTAACTTCCCTTAATATTCCTAGACAAATCAAACAAGTTTTGGGTCGTAACAGTAGGCCTTACTTACTGACCAAAAGCGCCGCACTCTAATTACGTCTCTCATTTAGAGTAATCTTTTAAGTTGTGCTACGTGGAATGAAAAGCTCATGTTTAAGCACCAACAACATTATTGAAACAGAACAGCAGGATTCAAATGAATAATTCAGAATGCAAATGATGCATTGTTGCCATCTATACTATTTCAACATCATAGAGCAGTTTTAATTTCAGGGTTCCCATCCATTATTGAAAAAGATTTTTCTAGGAATACTTGATTACAGAACAAAGTTTATTTTTCATTGATTTCGCACTCAAAAAGAACCATGTGTAGCCGATGAAGTGTTGCAGTATTGCAATTCACAAAAATAAGTCAATAAATAAATAAATCCATGACTTTCACAGGATTGGAAACTACACTTCCTGACATTTCCAAGTTCTCTAAGACCATGGGAACCCCGAGCCTTCCAAAAAGTACCAAATATATGGGAATAAATGCTTAATTTATGCGCCAATGCTATATACAGTACGTTTACATAGTATTTTTTTTGTTAGTGTAGATTGAAATAAAACATTTAGCTGAGTATTCATAACAAATCCATATTCTATTTTTGTAAAACAAAATAAAAATCAGTTATTAAAGACTAACAGCCATATTATCTATTCAGACAATACTAGTTATTCAGTCCCAAACATTCAGAAGACAACTAACACAGTAAGTTCAATGTCAGTAAACAAAAGAACAACAACTTTGTCTAGAGACTTTGTAGAAGAATATCCATCTATTTTCCTCACCTCTAGTTTGTGGTTGAGCTGAAAGATGGTTTGGGATTTATGACACAGCTGAGCAAAGCATGAGCTGAGGCTGGTCATCTTCTGACGGCCCTCATATGTGATATCAGCCTGGTCCGGGTCGATCTCTCCCAGCAACAGATCCACATCCACAAACGCCTTGTCAAACTCCTTCTCCAGCACCTCCAGCCATCGGAACATGGACATACCGGAGCCGGGACCGGGAGAGAGGGCCGAGCCCGGGGATACAACACCGCCAGCGGATGCAGACATCTTCAACACGGATACAAGAAGAACACACAGATAACCTGAAATGTAGTCCTTTACTCGGTGCGATCACTGGCCGATTAAGTTATATTAACAGCAGTCTTCTGGTGTGATAGAACGTGAAAGTGGCGTTTTGTTGGCGTGTTTTCCGTGCTCTCATCTGACCAGGAAATCCGAGAGCGAACAAGTCAAGCGGGGATCGATTAGTTTGGTCTGCCACACGATGGGGCCCGTCAATGAGCAAGGCAGTCGATAGACGAGCGCTTCGATTACTGAGTGCCAGTTCGTGGGAATTTACAGCAGATTGGAAACTACACTTCCTGACATTTCCAAGTTCTCTAAGACCATGGGAACCCCGAGCCTTCCAAAAAGAACCAAATATATGGGAATAAATGCTTAATTTATGCGCCAATGCTATATACAGTACGTTTACATAGTATTTTTTTTTGTTAGTGTAGATTGAAATAAAACATTTAGCTGAGTATTCATAACAAATCCATATTCTATTTTTGTAAAACATTTCATTCTCTTTCACTTTTATTTAATTGACAAAAGTACAAAGAAAAGATTTCCAAAGTTTTCACTGACCAACGTGAATGTATTTGGTAAATATGAACCAATTTAGATTTTGACGGCTGCAACACACTCCAAAAAAGTTGGGACAGAGGCATGTTTAACATTGTGTCACATCAACGGTCCTTTTAATTACAACATTTAATTGCTTAGGAATTGAGGATACTAATTGTTAAAGTTCTGCAAGCAATCTCGCTTGATACAAGACTTCACCTTTTCATGATGAGCCTTACATTTTCAATAGGAGACGGATCTGCTGGCCAGTCTAGCACATTCACTCTGTCTACGAAACCACGCTGTTGTAGCACATGCAGAACGAGAGCTGACATTGTCTTGATCTAATAACAATGGACTTCCCATGAAAGACATCATCTTGATGGCAGTATATTTATCTGTACAATCCCAGTATATGCCTCCATGTCAATAGTACCTTCGCACATATTCCAGTCACCCATGCCGTTTGCACTGATGCACTCATTAACCATGACAGAAGTTTGCTTTTGCTTCTGTCGCTAATGGAAGTCTGGATGGTCCCTTTGGTCTTTGGGACTGAGAACAGCACACATTTTCACTGTCTTTTTTGACTGTCTGAGATGAGCTCTGGCCCAGAGAACCCGGCAGCATCACTGCATAGAATTAATGTAGGCCTATAGCTTTCTCCTGGAGTAATAGATATTCAAGTTGCATTTCTTGATGCAGCAGCAGACTGTGGTAAATTACAGTGGTTTTCTGAAGTACTCCCGAGCCCATGTGGCTATATTTAACATAGCAGCATGAAGGTATCTTAGGCTGCGTTTACACTGGCACAAAAAATCAGAACTTTCGCTCACATCTGACACAGATCAGAATTTGTTGCACACGTGTAAACACAAAAACCCGCACGAGATCCGATTTTTTTGCATCCGATCTGAGCCACTTCCAAATGTGGATTTTAATTGGATACACATCTGATATCTGGACATCCGACCTACGTCTAAACACGCATATCCGATTCTCCACAGAACTCCCAATGCGAAGGCGACACGTTTGCTCATAAAGATTTTTGATGGTGTTTTAATGCCGGCGTGCTGTATGCACTCGCATTTTATTGAGATGGAAACTTTTTATAGGTAAGAATTTGCACATTCAGGAGCTGGTTTTCAACCCCCGCCCTGTGAATTTTGAAAATACAACAGCTAAAAGCTACATATATTTCTCAGCAATGAGGTGAGAACTTAGCAGTTTTTGTAATTAAACCGACAAGCTTGTTTGCAATGCTTCACAATCACTCGCTCGCACGTGGGTGCATGCGTTCCTTAATTCGAATTCATTTCAATAAATATCATCTTTATTTCATTAAAGAATTCTACCTCTAACGAGCTGTAGATAAAATAGTCTAACAAATTATTTTTTTTTATCCGTTCAGTCAGATTTTGTGCTGCAAAACATCCATGACAGCCGTTGTCCATGCTGGCAAATAATAATGGCCATTCGACGTGAATTATATAAATAATTTGAATAGCACGCCCATTTAAAACCAGAGGGTCTACCATGTGCATAGTAAAGCGATCACTGCAGACAATCCTTTTGGGTGGGAATTAATGTAAACACAGATATCGGATACCAGTCATGTTTAAAGTGAATGTAAACAGACGTGCCAAAAAATCGGATATGGTCAAAAGATCAGATCTGTGCATTAAGACTTGCAGTCTAAACGCAGCCTTATGCAATGCCATCTGAGGGCTCAAAGGTCAAGCACATTCAACTGAGGTTTCCTGCCTTGCCCTACATGTACTGAGATTTCTCTGGATTCCCTGAATTTTTTCACAATTTTATGTATGGTACTTTGTGAAAGACCTAAATTCTTTGCAATTTTGCATTGCGAAATGTGATTTTTGATTTGTTTGACACTTCTCTTGTGAAATTTGGCACAAAGTGATGAGCCATGATCCAGCTTTGCTTGCAAAGACTGAAATGCTCCTTTTATACCCAAACATGATACCTTGACCTATTACCAATTCACCTGCTCACTGTGAGCTGTTTCAAAACAGTTTAACGTGGATATTCTATAACCTTTTCACTTTTATTTTGACCTCTGTCCCAACTTTTTTGGAATGTGTTGCAGCCGTCAAAAACAAAATTTGTTCATATTTACAAAATACGTTCATGTTGGTCAGTGAAATCTTTGGAAATCTTTTCTCTGTACTTTTGTCAATTAAATAAAAGTTAAAGAGAATTAACAAATCACAGATTCTTGATTTTATTGCATTTTACAAAATGTCCCAACTTCTCTGGAATTGGGGTTGTATTAACACTTGCAAATATATTATACAGTTCTATATACAGTATATACACATATAGTATGTATATATGTATATATAGTAATCAACTACAACAAAATCAAATCAAAATTATTTTAGCTAAAATAAAATTACAACAACATTTCTCATTTTAATTTAGTTTAACTTTACGCACACACACACACACACACACACACACACACACACACACACATCACCTTTGGCTCAAAAACCTGAGATTTGTGATTATTTTCTGCACCACCCAACCTTTATTAATTAATTAATTAATTAAAAATTATTATTTTTTTAGCTTTTTAGAAATTTAAGCTTTATTTTATATAACATGAAGGACAAGATAGTTTAACTTTTTAACTTTACGCACACACACACACACACACACACACACACACACACATATATATATATATATATATATATATATATATATATGTATATGCTAATTACACATTATTAAATGTTAAATTAATAGAGTATGAAATCACCTTTGGCTCAAAAACCTGAGATTTGTGATTATTTTCTGCACCACCCAACCTTTATTAATTAATTAATTAATTAAAAATTATTATTTTTTTAGCTTTTTAGAAATTTAAGCTTTATTTTATATACAGTATATAAAAAAAACTGTCAGTAATGAAGTCAATATTCAATATTGTTTTTTATTAGATTTATAGCAACAAAAACAGTGAACAAACAACATACCAAAAAACAAAAAGTAATGAAGTCAATAAATGTCAGCAGTTTTTTAATCCAGCAGTCCAAAATCCATTTTTCTACATTTTAGGTTTTAAAACTTCATTTTGTAAAGTTAATATTACTGGGTGCAAAGAGAGGCCAAATAATTTATACATAAGAAATGCATTTGTTTAACAGAATAGGTTGTAAATAGTTCATCAGCAAGTTTACATCTGCAAACAGACAGGACTCTCTACTGCTGATATGCCAGTTCCTTGCGTCAAATTTGTTTTCTAACCAAGATAGTGATCTCAGCCATTGTTCCAAATAAAGCAAAGGAGTCTTATTCTCACAAGCGTGAATCTGCCTCAGCTATTTAAGCCTCAGACGCTCAAAATGCTGCTTCAGTGCCTTTTTCTGTGTGTCTTACTCTACAGTCAACATGGCCACTGCAGCTACATCTGTCCAAAAAACTGCATCTGTGAGCAAGCAAGCTCAGTGCAATGTTTCAGGGCTCAGGCTGTACCACCGCTCGTCTCAAACAACCTGAAGGAAATACACCTGGGATACAATCCCCTCAAAGAGCTGAAGGTCATTTTTTGTTTGTTCTTTATTGATGTTATTTTGCTGTTTAGGATTAAAACATTCATTCATTCATTCATTCATTCCCAGTGGATGAAATCATTTTTTTTCTTGTTAATTTTGCTGTTTTATTTTAAAATGTGTCACATTAGAGAGGTAACATTGGTAGTCAATTTGTAATTCCAGAATGTCTTTCTCTTAGTTTTTTGTTTGTTCTTTGTTATTGTTATATTGCTGTTCAGGATTAAAACATTTATTTATTTATCTATTCATTCATTCATTCCTAGCGGATGAAAAAAAATGTTTTTCTTGTTAATTTTGCTGTTTTACCTGAAAATGTTTCACATTACAGAGATAAAATTGGTAGTCAATTCATAATTCCAGAATGTCTTTCTCTTCGTTTTATTTTTTTACACATTTGTACTGTAATGTTTCTTTAATTAAATGTATTTATTAAACATTCATTCATTCATTCATTCATTCCCAGTGGATGAAATCATTTTTTTTCTTGTTAATTTTGCTGTTTTATTTTAAAATGTGTCACATTAGAGAGGTAACATTGGTAGTCAATTTGTAATTCCAGAATGTCTTTCTCTTAGTTTTTTGTTTGTTCTTTGTTATTGTTATATTGCTGTTCAGGATTAAAACATTTATTTATTTATCTATTCATTCATTCATTCCTAGCGGATGAAAAAAAATGTTTTTCTTGTTAATTTTGCTGTTTTACCTGAAAATGTTTCACATTACAGAGATAAAATTGGTAGTCAATTCATAATTCCAGAATGTCTTTCTCTTCGTTTTATTTTTTACACATTTGTACTGTAATGTTTCTTTAATTAAATGTATTTATTTCCATTATATCAGTTGGTTTTAAACAGATTTGTTTATTTGTTAATTCCCAGTGGATAAAAATATTTTTTTCTTATTGAATATCCTAATATGTTCTTTATTTAGTAGTTCTTTGTTTTAATAGCCTATTGTATTTGTTGATTTTAAAAAGGTTGATTTATTAACTTATTAATTCCCAGGGGATTCATTTTTTATTTGTATTTTTTTGAATATCCTGTTTTACTTTGAAATGTCACATTACAGAGGTAACATTTGTAGTGAATTTGAACATTTCAGGATACCTTTCTCTTAGTTTCATTTTTTACACTTTTAGACAATGTGATTTTTCTCTAATTAAAGTTTCTATTATTATTATTATTATTATAGTTTTTTTATATTAATTGATTTTAAACAGATTTATTTATTTATTTATTCCCAGTGGATGAAATCATTTTTTCTTTGTAAATATCCGTTTGTTTGTTTTTTAAATGTGTCACATTACAGATTGAGAATGCTTTTCTCTTATTATTATTATTTTTTCACTTTTGTACTATGTGATCTTTCTTTAATTAAAATTAAAATTCTCAGTGCCTATTATATTGGTTTTAACCAGATTGTGTTATTCATAGGTCAGAGATTTTTCTGGTTTGCCAGGACTTGAAGAAGTAGTTCTGTCGTCTGGTGAGATCGAGCAGATCGACGCCGATGTGTTCAGATCTCACGTCTTGTTAAGAACTCTGGACCTTCAGAAAAACAAGTTAAGACAGCGTCCCCGCGGCCTGCCCTCGGGCCTGGAGATCCTCCATTTGGCCCACAACAGGATACACAGCCTGCAAGAGTCGCCCCTGGAGGGCCTCAAGAAGCTGCGGGTCCTGCACCTCCAGAATAACCAGATTAGCACTTTACGCACAAACACCCTAGCATTACTTCAGAGGCTTGAGTGTCTTTATCTGGATGGAAATAAAATCGAATCAATACATGGCGCTCCCGGGTTGCCCTTTCTCAGTTTGCTTAGCATGGGAAGCAACAGGATCTCCTCCATATCATCAACGTTCTTCTCTTCACTGCAGCTTCACCAAAGCCCCTTATAGTCTTCCTCGGTCTCTGGTTCATCTGAACTTGGACAGGAATCAGATTAGATCGCTGAGGAATCGTGACATGTCCCAGCTGCACAACCTCATTACCCTTTCTGTCAGCTCTAACAGGCTAGTGTCAGTGGACGGGGGTCTTCACCTGCCTAATCTGTCTGTGTGTGAGTTGGCAGGAAACCAGCTATGAATACTGCCTGCTAGATTGACCTCTAAACTCGAGAAGCTGGACTGCAGGCAGAACAATATCCAGGAAGTCACTTTCCAACAGCTAGCAGGAATGAAACTACTGAAACATGTCTTTTTGGAAAACAACTCCATCCAAAAGTTTGAAGCCAATGCCCTGAGAAACTGCATTCAACTAACCAGCCTAGCGTTAGAACAGAATCTGCTTTCTGCTATTCCTCATGTCTATGTGCATCTTTTTCTTCACTTAATGTATTGTTATTTGTTTGATTTCCTCTGACATAAACTAAAAGTCAATCTGTGTTTTTAGTATCAATGAAATAATTAACATTATTAACAAATAAATAACATTTTGATATTAATATTAATTAGTATGACTAATATAATTAATATTAATATTTTCCAGTTTTATTTAAATTTCAATTTTAGTCATTTTGATATGTTTTTGCCTTTTTTTGTATAGTTATTTCATAGTAACATTTTATTTTATTTGAGTTTATTTATGAGTTTACGCATTAATTTAAACATTTATTTACACATTTATTTAGTTTATTTATGAAATTATGCATTTGTTTACAAATTAATTTACACATTTATTTATGAGCTTACGCTTTTATTTATTCATTTATTTATGCAATAATTTACACATTTTTGTATAGTTTTTACATAGTAATATTTTTACAATTTAATTTAGGAGTTTATGCATTTGTTTACGCATTAATTTAAACATTTATTTATGCATTTATTTAGTTTATTTACGAGATTATGCATTTGTTTACAAATTAATTTACACATTTATTTATGAGCTTACGCTTTTATTTATTCATTTATTTACGCATTCATTTACAATTTTTTGTATAGTTTTTACATAGTAATATTTTATTTTATTTTAATTATGAGTTTATGCATTTGTTTAATTATGCATTTATTTACGCATCAAGTTACACATTTATTTATGAGTTTAGGCATTTGTTTATTTATGCATTAATGTACGCATTAATTTAAACATTTATTCATGCATTTATTTAGTTTATTTATGAGTTTATGCATTTGTTTAATTATGCATTTATTTACACATTAATTGAAACATTTATTTATGCATTTATTTAGTTTATTTATGAGTTTATGCATTTGTTTAATTATGCATTTATTTACACATTAATTGAAACATTTATTTATGCATTTATTTAATTTATTTATGAGATTATGCATTTGTTTACAAATTAATTTACACATTTATTTATGAGTTTACGCTTTTATTTATTCATTTATTTATGCATTAATTTACACATTTACAATGTAAAATTTGTACATTGTAATATTTTATTTTATTTTAATTATGAGTTTATGCATTTGTTTAATTATGCCTTTATTTATACATTTATTTATGCATTTATGCGTGCATAATTTACTGTATTTATGCATTTGTTTGTTTATATATTCTTTTAAGAGACTGAATATGATGTGATTAATTGGTCACGTTAAATGGCTCAAGAATATCTTGATAACTGTTTCTATTAATCAGTTCTTTTAATATTCTTTTTTATACCAGGCTTCCTGAGACACTGGTCCGTTTGGATCTGAAGGGGAACAACATTGACACGATACATGAGCGTGAGCTGAAGCCTCTCAGGCGACTGCAGGTGTTATATCTGCGCAACAACAAACTCTCCACCCTGCCTGCATTGAACCTACCAAAACTAAAAGTTCTATATTTGGATGGAAACCCATGGCAGTGCAACTGTGAACTCATCCAGGTCAAAAAGGCCCTTTTAGCAAAGGATGTGGAAATCAGGCCTGACTTCTGCAGCGCCGTCCATGAATCTCTTGATGAACGGCGAGCTTATGTACTGGCACAAGATATCTGTCAGAAGCAGACCAGAGATTTGCTATTGGAGAGCCAAACTGAACACACAGACAACGAGGAGTATGATGATTATGATTTGTAAATGTAATCCTTACATATGAAGGCATTGCAATGTTGTTCTGCCTCTCTGCATGCTTCGTTTCTGTTTGCATCCCATATAGAACGAACAATAAATTAAATCTTGTCCAATATTGGTCACCGTCAGTGATTTGGACACAACAAAATAAAACCAATTGTATTTGGCTTTGGAAAATATAGCTTCGTTTCATTAAACTCCCGAAAGAAATCAGAAACAGACTCATAAAATGCCATTTCATATTAATATATTCAGAAAAAACTTCATTTGATACTGTATTATAGTTTAAAAATTTATATAGAAATATTTCTATAAAATAGAATTCAAATATATATTAATTATCGTTTTATAGTTGCAATGTTGATGCATTTAATAGTGGCTAGTAGTAGTACGTGTTAAAAGTCGTTTTAATCCTATTATATTAAAATACGTCCTTCAATAAAACGTTTTATATATTCTATGACGCTGAGTATAATATAAAATATAGATCGAATTAATAGACATTTCAGTAATAGGATTTTTACATATATTCCATTTACCGGTACAGCAGCCAATCGCATTGCACCATCTCGCGCAAGGCTGAAACCTGATTTTATTTTGATCTGAGATCAGCCGTTAAATGTTCTTCTCCCGCCTTAGCACTGCCGGGGAACGTCACAACCGATCCCAGACCAGGGATTAGAATGACGCGCAAGCGCTCTGTCAGCCGTCCAATCAGAGCGCTCCATGTCACACCGCAGCGGGTTCAGAGTGGAAAGGTTGACAAGATGAAGAAATGGCAGCCGGCGCGCTGCGGTGTTGGCAGTGACCAAAATGGCTCATTTCTCGATAGACCATTGCTCACACCGACACGGATTACTTTAATATGAGGAATTTACTTCCAAATAGATACATTCAACTAGGAACGCGTTTCTAAGACTTTGAAGCATGGCTTTACTGTATGAGATGGTTTGGCGCTTTTTGCACGCGCTGCTGTATGTGCAGCGCGCGCTGGTCGCCTGGTTCCGAGTCCACATCTGGAGGTGGAAACGGGCCGTGGTGGGCTTATTGCTGCCGCTTGCCCTCGGCTTTCACAATCCGAAAAAGACTGGAGCCATAGGCAAACGGACCAGCCGCCGGGTTCGCTGGGGAGCCGATGGCAGGACGTTAGAGAAGCTGCCTCTTCATGTGGGGTTGTTGATCACTGAGGAGGAGATCCACTTCACTGACGTCGCCAATCTAGTGGTCTGGTGCATGGCAGTGGGCATCTCATATATCAGTGTGTATGATAGTCAAGGTAAGACTTATTGGGATTCTTATGCATTGAATAAAGGGAAGTGAATGGCAGTCACATGCTGTTTCATGATTTGAGCAAACTAGTTCATTTAGCACACTTAATGTAACTTACTTTGTGTTAGGATATGATTGCTTTTATGCCAATGTTTAATTTTTTTTTACTCGTATTGATGTCAGATATAGTATGTTTATGGTCAGTGTTGGGGAAAGTTACTTTTAAAAGTAATGCATTACAATATTGCGTTACTCCATAAAAAAGTAACTAATTACGGTACTTAGTTACTTTTTATGGAAAGTAATGCGTTGCGTTACTTTTAAAATCTGGACAGGGCTTGCTTGTTTGATTTTAAAATAAAAAAGTTATCTTTTTGGCAAATATATGAATAAATGTATGAATAAGCCTCAGGCTGAAGGGAAGTACATTTACGTCCGTACAGTAGAATGCAGAAGAAGAAATTTCAACACACAAATGTTTGTCTAGAGTCATTTTTGCTTATTATGGTTGAACTGGATCATCGAAGGTCAGAAGCAAAGACATTGGTTAATAGAATGAGATTAAATACATAAAAGATATTTGTGTTTAACATTTTAATTATTGCAGGTTTGCATCATATTCTGAGTTGCATTATTTGTATTAATTTTGAGGAATACTGAATCTGTGTTTTTTTTTTGTGTGAGTGAGATGAATTAATGCATATTCATATTTATTTTGAACTACAGTAACATCTTCTGGTTTCTCTCAACATGGGGACAGGAGAGCTGTCAGTCAATAAATTGAAAAAAAAAAAAAAAAGTAATTTGCGTTACTTATTTGAAAAAGTAACTCAGATATTCTCTTGTAAATTAAAAAGTAATTTGTTACTTTACTAGTTACTTGAAAAAAGTAATCTGATTACGTAACTTGCAATATATTACCCCCAACACTGTTTATGGTTGGTTATCAATATATGGGTTAAAGGCGAGACGTACCATTTTGGTTTCTGCATCAAATTAAACGTGAAAAAAGGGATTTTAAATACATAAACTATATACTAAACGTGTGAGACATGCACCAAAACTTCTTATTCCTTGATTTCAAGAATGAAACTAGACTTTGTAATACCACTATTTGCATGAATATTTCTTTGAACCCTTTTGAAGGTTTTGAAAAGTATATTACTCAAACTTTAATTCTTGTCTTTATAATGTAACAATCTGTCTGGTCTGTTTAAACAGTGCCTTTCACCTCAGTATATTTCTCAATGGAAGCAGGGGAGTGTCTGATATCATATGCTGCTTGTAACTTTTGACAAATATTTTATAACTGACAAATATGTGGTAAGGGTTAACAGAGATCTGAATCACGTTATTAATAGTAAATTCCACTCTTTATTCGTTCATGCCACTATGGACCAAGTAATTTTAAGACGAAACCAATAAGTCTGTGGTTTTCAGTTTTGATTCAAGATTTGTTTTCTCCTCCCTTTTAAAAATAGATGATCATGTTAATTTTGCTTTATTTTATTGTTTTATTATTTAACAGTGATTGTTCCTTGTCAGAACAGAACTGTGTCCCTCCATTTGAAAGCCACTGATCTAAACCACATTGTCAAGTTCAACAAATTGAGTTCTCTCATGTGACACGTTTCTTAATTAGCCTCAAATGTTGAGAGTCTAAATTTGTCTTCTGAAAGTGTGAGGTTGCTGATAACTTTTTAGATTGATGTTAATGATATAACAGATGCTAAAGTCTAAGCTGGTTTTTATGGTTGTTTCTAATTTTAATGGATGAAGAACATGGAGGGTTTCTTTCTGGAGTTATATTGTCTAATGGGTGTGGGACGTCTTGTTTTACAGGTGTCTTCAGGAGGAATAACTCCAGACTCATGGAGGAGATCCTGAAACAGCAACAGGAGCTTTTGGGAATGGACATCTCCAAATACTCGGTGGAGTTTATGAAGAATGGTACAGATACTTCAGATAAACAAGAGCATCAAGGTGAGGCTCAAAACCCGAGAAAACGACTGTTGCTTTTTGTTTGAGACACTCACTGTGGGTGGACGCCTGTACAAACAGGTTGGATCAGAATATTTAGTCTAGGATGAATGCAGGTTTTGCACCTTTATGATGTCTGTGATGGGTCACAATGATTAATTGTTTACACCTTTTTCGTTTTCATGGCTTGGGTTTGGAAACACTTGTTAATTCACATGTTAATTGTGGAGAAACAGACACTATTATGCAGTTTTGTTTGGAAAAGATTCATTGTTGCTAACCTCTGTAGATCAGGGAATTGGTTTTATTTTTCCAAAGTTGCCTTGAGCAAGCCATGTTTTAAGAACCGTATGGAACTCGATCCAGAGTGACAGTGATACATGGGAAAACCCTCTTCGCTTATTGTTTTACTCCTAGCCTATATATTTTTTTGGGCAAAACAATAAGGACTTTTCTGCTGATTCAGTTGAACTAGTAGTTCAGATTTTGCTCTGCCAACATATTTATACTTTTCAAAGGTGTGAGAGGATTGCCACAATAGAAGGTGCTGATGGTGATACCGGTGTTAAGCCGCAACACCGGTTATGTCACTTGCCCACCACGGCACCGACCCCCACCGTCGTTTTGATTTTTTTATAGTAATAAAAATAATTTAGTTCAGTAAAAGAACAGACACTACAATTAAAAGCTGAACGCGGCTGCTCAATGCAGCGTGCCGAACGTCGCATCACAGATCAGATTTAATTTCTCCAGTGAGGAGAGCGAGTCGAGCTGACTGACAAGAAGAGTGAGGTGAGACAGACAAGATGATCGCGGATGATTTCATTTCGAAACAAGAGGCAAAAGCACCTGTTTGGCAATATTTTGGATTTTGAAAAGCCTGTTGACGTTTGCCGTTTATCTAAGGTGATTTTGGAAGTTTTTTTTAAACATTCGTTTCTTATTTAATTGGTTCCACATTGTTTGCTGATTTTTACTTTATTTAAACTTGGTGTCATTTATTTAATTTTTTTGACATCAAGGTGTACGCCATGCCTCCAAGCTTTCTTACTCGTTTTGCTAATAAACGTTCTACGTTTCTTATTTATTTGGTTATATATTATACATGTTTACTTGGCCTATTTCCAGTTTTGTATAGCTATTTAAACTTTATGTAAGTTATTTGTTATTTTATATTAGGCATAGCCTGGCCTATAGCATGGTGTATATTTATTTGTTTTGTTAATAAAAGTTCTATGTTTTATATATAGGCTGAAGTGAATTTGACGTTGTATTTTGTTATTGCATTCAAGCAATTGACGCCGATTTGCCGCTATTTGAAAGTGAAAGTAAAATACGCACGCAGCTTTTACAAGCTATTTGAAAGCGAGGAAAAGAGGGAACGCCCCCGCCCCGCCCCCACGGTGATACCGGAATTATCACACGTCGGTTAACCGGTGGGAAAATTTCCTCACCGTCACAACCCTAGTGTGGGATCAGGGAGGATTTTTCAAAGAAATTAATTCGTTTTTTTATTAAGCGGGGATGCATTAATTTGTTTAAACATGACAGTAAAGTCTCTTATTTTACAAATGATTTCTATTTCAAATGCTGTCCATTTCTGTTCATTACAAATTCTTAAAAAATTGTTTCCACAAGAGTATTAAGCAGCAATTTGTTTTTAACATTGATAATAATAGGAAATGTTCCCATGACCCCATTCAAAAGTTTACACACCCTTGAATCTTAATACTATGTGTCATTTCCTGGATGATCCACAATGTTTTTATATTTTGTGATAGTTGTTCATGAGTCCCTTGTTGGTCCTGAGCAGATGATAGAAATCATTTAGTTCGGTAAAAGAACAGACACTACAATTAAAAACTGAACGCTGAAAACTAAAAATCATTTAGTTTTCAACTGCCTGCTGTTCTTCAGAAAAATCCTCCAGCTCCTGCACATTCTTTGGTTTTCCAGCATCTTCTGCATATTTGAACCCTTTCCAACATTGTCTCTATGATTTTGAGATCCATATTTTCACACTGAGGACAATTACAAAAGGTGAAAACATTTACTGATGCTCAAGAAGGCAACACAATGCATTAAGAGCCTAAACTTTTGAACAGGAGGATGATGTGTAAATTCTTCTCATTTTGTTTAACAATCATATTTTTTAATTTAGTACTGGACTTCAGAAGCTACATAAATACTTACGTTTCCCAGAAGATAAAATAGGTACAATTTACCCTGATCATCCAATTAAAAAAGTTTACACCCCCATCAGAATGAGCTTTATTGCCAGGTATGTTTACACACATGAGGAATTTGTTTTAGTGACAGAAGCTCCACAGTGCAACAGAATGACCGTGACAAGACAGGACATAGATAATAAAAGAATAATATACAAATATACAAAATAGACAATGTACAAAAAAAAGCAAAAACACAATACATAATAGACAATTTTGAAAGTACAGGTATGATATGTGCAAATTTGAAATGTAAGTAAGTATGCTTACTTAAAATAAATAATGTATACTAGTGTTGTGTGTTCCATGATTATTGTTAAGTGTTCATGAGATGGATTGCCTGAGGAAAGAAACTGTTCCTGTGTCTGGTCGTTCTGGTGCTCAGTGCTCTGTAGCGTTGACCAGATGGCAACAGTTCAAAGAGGGAGTGTGCTGGATGGGAGTGATTTTGCTAGCCCCTTTGCTCGCTCTGGATGAGTACAGTTCTGTGTACTCAGTACTGTGTACTCACACAATGCATTGTGTGGCCTTCTTGAGCATCAGTAAATGTTTTCACCTTTTGTAATAGTTATGCATGAGTCCCTCTATTGTCCTCAGTGTTAAAAGATGGATTTCAAAATCATAGTCAATGTTGGAAAAGGGTTCAAATATGCAGAAGATGCTGGAAAACCAAAGCATGTGGCGGAGCTGGAGGGTTTTTCTGAAGAACAGCAGGCAGTTGAACTGCTCAGGACCAACAAAAGACTCATGAACAATATATATATATATATATATATATCGCTGCTAATTTTATCCCTCAAATTTTCATCATTAAAATAACTTTGTATGAGCCTTGTGATTGCTGTTTTAATCTGTCTCATCACACGTCTGACTATAACAAGAAGACTGACTTCATATTTAGTCACTTGTTCTGAGTTACTCAGTTTCTAAATGGAAAATACACCAATGTCTATGCATTGCCTGATTGCTTTAGTCTGTTTAAATGTTGTCCACACTTAATATAAAGCTATTTTTTCCTGTCTTCTATAGTTTTACCTTGTCAGTCAGTGGTGAAAGTCTTATCTCCAGACGATGGGCGGCTCAGTATCGTCCAGGCAGCCCAGCAGCTCTGCAGGGCCGTTGAGCAGAAGGAAAAGACAATCAAAGACATTAACGTCACTGTGCTGGACTCATTACTCAGAGGTGAGGTTACAGCGTGTCTGTCAGCTGACAAGCACAAACAGTTATATATGAGCATTTAGTCTTTTAAAGGATCTGGTCAAATCTTTTCCTTTCTTTAGTGAAGAATGCCGATAGGGATTAGAAAAGGAGAAAAGACAAAGTTTTCAAAGTGCCTTATGAGAAATTTCAAGTGAAAGCCAGTGAAATAATAATTAATGGGGTATTGTATTGGTGATGTCTTTTCACAGTACAAGAGTAGAATAAATAAAACACCTTTAACATCAACTTTTTAAAAACTGTGTAATGTAAAAAAAAAAAAAAATTTAAAAACTCATAAAACATTGAAAATACCAAACAATATAATAATTTACCCACCATTTATATGGTATTTTGACATTTCTTTATAGATGCAAAGATTTAAACCTTTGATGTTTCAAATAAATTGACCTTTTTTGTGACCGAATAAAAACCGTAAATTGACATTTGAATAAATATTGGGTCATAATGTTAAATATTAATCATGTAAATCAATTTTATACAAAATTGTATTACAAGATATTTATATTGATAAAAGATTTATTATTTATAGTTACAATAATGTTGGATGTATCAAACCAAAATCCACTTACAAAAATAGAATAGTATATATCAGGAACATGATAATGTCAAATAACAAGAGGCACAATAGAGAATGTACAATTCAGGCCATCAGAGTGATGAAGAATATTCATAGCACAACCTCTGATTGCAACAATATGAGCATCATCGCTCCTGTGTGATTGCAGCTCGCTGAGCTCACTCATCCTGGAGGATATGTTGTGTTGAGAGACAGATCTGTGGTTTTTGCCGTTTCTATGGTCTCCAGGATCTTCTCAGTTAACAAAAGAGCCTGTAGTGTTCTCCGTATTCATCTTCAGAAGCTCCTCAGGCTTTTTCCACTGATGCCTGTTTTTTTTTTCCCCCTGTGCAGAGTCAAAGAACATACCGGACCCAGACCTGGTGCTGAAGTTCGGCCCTGTGGAATCCACACTTGGATTTCTTCCCTGGCACATTAGACTAACAGAGATTATGTGAGTATGTTTATGTATCGATGTAATTGAGCAAGCACAAACTGTACAGATTACATGCTAATTGCTTTGTACAGAACATTAAAATTTTTGTTCTTTTTGGTCCTTTCCTCTGGGTTTTCTTTTGTGCATCTTGAAGTCTTAATTTGTTCTTCCACAAATTAGGGCCTTAAAAAGTTCTTAAAGGTCTCCTGAAATGCTTAGAAACATGCAGCGTTACTCTGTGTTGATGTCATTTTAACTGAAACAGGAAGACAGGGCGGGACATATCAAGCAGCCCCGCCCCTTTTTAAAATAGCCGATAGTGTTCATTATATCACATCTTGGGCTAGAGCCATTGAGTTCCGTAAAGCCGCATTTGACAGGGTATGCCAGCCACAATCTCATCCATATTGCTATAAAATATAGCATTCTGTGTAGAATTCAAATAGCTCCGATACATTTTGTGGTCTGCGCCGACTCGCGCATGTGATCCGCTCCGTGCTATCGTGTCTCTGGACCGGAGCAGAGTGTGTGTGCTGTGCGGTGGTGCGGTGACACAGCGCAAAACCAGACTTCTTTTTTTCTCAATGGAAAGCATATTTACACTGTTACGAAAGCATCGTTCCCTGTCCCCTATATAGTGCACTACGTGCCATTCACTGTTCAGAAAATACTAATTCTGTGGACAAGTGACCGATTTCAGCCACGGCTTCAGCGTCTATTTTATAGTGTAGGGGGCGGGCGCTTCGGATTCTAGAGAGCATTTGATTGGACAGAAAGTTTGATGAGACGCTGAAGTACGATGTGACGTCAAAAAAATCGTTGAGCCGTTTTGGCGGAAGTGACGAACTGCAAGCTTTGAATGCTTATATCTTCTAAATGTGAATTCCGTCACTGTTTTAGATAACCTTAAGACTAACATATTAACACCCAAAAATCTTTAATTTTGATTTCATGGGGACTTTAAGTCAGAGCAGAATGACTTAAATTCATAAAGATGTTGCATTAAATATTGCATGCACTGCAAAAAATACCTTCATGTATATTTTTGTCCTCGTTTTGCAATACAAATATCTAAACAGCCTTAAATCAAAGTACACTTACTTTAGATGCAAACTGAAGTCTTGTTGTCTAAGACATTGAACACAATGAAGTGAGTTCATGCTTAAAACAAGAACAAGATGGTATTCTTTAAAGTACAGTGGGCTTCAAAGTCCACAATAGATGTATAGAATATAAAATCAAAATTAAACCTGGAAATAAAGTGAAAATGTACAACAAAGAAATAATGAGGGATCGGTAGCAGAAGGTCTGTGATTTACATAGTTGTGTTCACATGTTTGTTACCGTCAGTGCGTGCGGTGGCATTTTGCCTGGAGAGTTTACTTAAATCCTTTCACATGATTATCAGCACAGATTTACAAGTAAACCTGTCCACGTTGGCACACTTATCTCTGGAAGCTTTCCCAGCGTGTGTGATGACGCGAGCAGCTCTGCGAGATCACGGCACACATGCAGACTTTCAGCGCATTGCATCATGCAACCATCGTCAGCGTCCTGCAGTCTGACAGTCTCCATCTTAACTGTTTTAAATGCCAGTTTCTTGTCTTAATATGCATGGAGTTTTTACCTCACCAGATTGTGAATGATAAATGCCTTACTAATTTTATTAAAGGTTAAACAAATGCAAGGCATTTGTACACAGAGCAGCCAAGTATAAACTTTTCGGTCTATATACATTTTAACCCAAAATATTAATGCACAAATTCAAAATTTGAGATTACATGAGAAAATATTTATATTAATGAAATTGTAATGGTAAAAGCATATAAATATGGACTTTTTATCCTGTCGACTTGTTAAAGGGTTAGTTCACCCAAAAATGAAAATTCTGTCTTTAATTACTCAACCTCATGTTGTTCGAAACCTGTAAGCCCTTCGTTCATCTTTGGAACACAATTTAAGATATTTTTGATGAAATCTGAGGGCTCTCTTACCCTCCCATAGACAGCAAGGTAACTACCATGATGTTCAAGGTCCAGAAAAGTAACAAGATGATCGACAAAGTAGTCCGTGTGACATCAGTGGTTCAACTGTAAAGCTACGAGAATACTTTTTTGCGCAAAGAAAACAAAAACAACGACTTTATTCCACATTTTCGTCTCTATTGTTTCACTTGTGGACGCACGTTCATGACAGTATCATGACGCGAGCGTGTGGCGGCGCTGACCCAGATCCCGCGCGATGACGTCATTACGCCGGATCTGGGTCAGCGCTGCCACACGCTCGCGTCATGATACTGTTTACTGTTCCGAAGATGAACGAAGGTCTTACGGGTTTGGAACAACACAAGGGTGAGAATTTTTATTTTTGGGTGAACTATCCCTTTAAGAAACATAATTTAATAGAGAAAGTAGCATGTATTTTTCCTTTTCACTGTGATAATTGCAAAATATATTGAACTAATAAAGAATGTAAATTTGCATTGTTCAACGCTGAATGTTTTTTTTTTTGTGTTTCTCTGAGCTTCCACTAGATGGCAGTGTGTCACTGCACTGATTCACTGCATTATTAGCAAACTTGATCCTGTTTAGTTTCCCTTCCATGTATCACCACACATTCAGTCTTCTAAGCCTTGGATGGTGTTTGTCTGGTGACTGATAACACATCTGTAGACTGTTAATCGGGGCTGTTTTAAAGTAATTAAAATGACTTTTAGATTTTTATAAGTTTAAGTGATTGCACAAAATTGATTTACAATTATGCACCTACATTTCAGGTATGCAATTAGCTACATTTTAATTATATCAGCCCAACTACCCTGAGGAAACTGAGATAATCCAACCACATCTAATCATGTTCATTCCACTAAAATGAAATGTGCACATTTGGAAATGACTGAGTATTTGGAAATTAATTGTGGAGTTTTTTTTTTTGTTTTTTTTTGAGAAATTAGTACTTTTATACAGCAAGGGCATGTTAATTTGAATAAAAATGACAGTAAAAACATTTATAATGTTGCAAAAAGTTCTATTTTAACTAAATACTGTTCTTGTCAAGTCACCTTTATTTATATAGCGCTTTTAACAATACAGATTGTCAAAGCAGCTTTATAGTATTAAATAGGAAAATAGTGTGTCAATAATGCAAAATGACAATAGTAAACACTCCGTTTTCAGTTAAAGGCAGTTCATTGAATTCAGTGATGTCTTCATCCAGCTCAGTTCAGTTTAAATAGTATCTGTGCAATCAAGTCGACAATATCGCTGGAAACTTGTGACAATATCTGCTTAATATTTTCCAACATTGATAAAAATAAAAAAATGTTTCTTGAGCAGCAAATCAGCATATGAGAATGATTTCTAAAGGACACTGAAGACTGGAGTAATGATGCTGAAAATTTAGCTTTGCATCACAAGAATAAATTACATTATAAAATGTATTAAAATAGAAAAGTAATTTTATTACCATTATAGTATTTTATTACTTTTTAACAATATTACTAAATAGTATTACTCTTCTAGTGTATATTCGATCAAATAAATGCACCCTTGGTGAGCATAAGAGATTTTAAAATCATATTTATTTTATTATGCATTCTGTACTGCACAAATATTCAGTATGAGAGAAAAAAACTGGTGTGGAACCAAGGTTTAGCTTTAGTTAAAAATCTTGAAATGCAGCTGAAACAATATTTTCTAAATCGCCAATTAATCAACCGTTTCAACTGTTTTTCATTGTAAAATATTAAACCTATTTAAGAAAATGAAAGGCATCATTAAACAAAACTAAGAACATAATATATTTACTAGTGTGTTTCTGAAGTATTTGATCTCTCCATTTCTCTCTCCTCTCCACCTGTAGCTCCATGCCGTCCCACGTAGATGTCTCTTACGATGACCTGTTCGGTGCTCTGCAGCGCTATGCGACGTGCGAGCAGCGGTTGGGCAAGTGAGGATCAGTCTGCAGAACAGAACAGAAGGAACTGAACGAGCGAGAGGGGATGGAGGGGGTCCGTCCCTCTCTTCATGTTTACAGTACAAGCACTGGAACCTCAGCGCCAGCAATCCGCTGCTGCTGCTCTTCTCCGCCAAGACCTGCCAGGCGTCTCTCTCTCTCTGTGCGTGTGTGTGTGTGTGATTATACTTGTGCGTTTGTGTACGTGTGAGTCTCCCGTGAGTAACTACACGCAGAAAAGGGCGCAAGCGCTTCCCTGCAAACAGGCCGGTCGCTCGAGGAGCTTGTTTAGCCATGTGGTGTAAATTTACCAGATAGATAGATAGATAGATAGATAGATAGATAGATAGATAGATAGATAGATAGATAGATAGATAGATAGATAGATAGATAGGTAGGCACATATTTTCCTACCTCAGGGTCTAAGTAACTGGGTATTTCCTAATGCTTTGGGGTTGAAATTTAGTGCAAAAATACAGCATTAACTAGGAAATATCATGCATAATATAATGTAATATTATGTCAGAAAGGTCAAAATGTTATTCTAAAGGGTGGATTGTTATAAAGGGGTTGCCATAATGGTTGGTAGTAGTCTTCTAGCCCATTCAAATATATAGATGGATGGATGGATGGATGGACAGAATTCAGCAGCTGTCTATGTAGGCAGTAAGTGAAGCAACTCACTAGGTTTTGGAACAGAGTTTCTGTATCAGCTTCAAAACAAGCAGACAGATGCTTGATCAAGGCCAGAAGAACATGTGGGATCAAACATCATCATTCCAGCTCCTTCCTCGTCAACATTCAGCGGATCAACATCCATTAAAGCGCTGCTGTACGGCTCTACTTCTCTAACACGAGAATTTCCACTGGGTTATGATTGCACCTGCTGTATGTAGAGTCCCTCTGAACGAGTCCGTGACCTCTCTCTGTGCTTCAGCCACAAAGAATATACTCTATGCTGCGGTTTCGCACACATGCAATATGAGAGCCAATCCTGTTCAGCATGCTGGCCACTGGTTTCCATGACAACTAAGGGGTGATGGGTGGTCAAAGCCTGTATGAAAACAGCCAACCTAAACACCAGCTGATATTGAACGGACTAATCTATCATTCCGTAAAGTGGATGTTGATTTAAATTCAAAGCATTTCGTATCGAAGCAAATTAAGACCGAGAGCTTGCAAACGTGAGTGACTGACTTGTTGTACAGTTCTAAGCGCACCCATTAAACATGAAGATGTGCTGCAAGTAAATGCAATCCATGTATTGATTTCAGACCGAAGCATCCATAACTGTTGGGCTTTTGGCACACTAACAAGCATCTAGACTTAGATGTTCAGCCCCCTTAGGAATGAGTAACTGATCGTGGGCTTTGTGTTTTGACATCTCGCTGCACAGGGAATTGAAGTACCTGCAGTGTTTCCTTATGGCAAGATTACATACTTTGAAGACAAAGCTAGAGAATTCATTTAGTTGCCTTTTGCTATGTTTTCATTTCGTGGCTTCTTTTTTCTCTAGAAGAATATGCATTTATTTATTTGCTTGCAAAAGAATCCAGTATATGCTTAATTTTCTTTCTCTCTCTAAGAAAATGCTGATATAAATTAAATTACAAAAAGTTTCACTTAAATTAAATCATTCAAGATTAGTCATTTCTGATTTATTAATAAACAAAGAGCAAACTGTATTTGTCCATTTGTAGTGATTGTGTAGGTGCAGATTTTTTCCTCTTTTTTTCTCTTTGCTTTTCCTTTTCAGTATCGTCTAATTTATTGCTGTATTTATACTTATTTATTATTGTTATTATTTACATATATTTATTCTTTATTATTATTATTTTCATTTGTCTTGATGCAATCATATTCATTAGTATATTTTGTGACTTAGAGAGTAAGAAATACTTTTGTCTGATCTTATCTTGATGTCTCTTTTAACATGCCAAAAAAGTAGATACATTTGTTTTTCTTTTTTAACTCAAAAGGAAAAAAATATTTAAAATTAAACGATAAAAATAAAAATGATTATTTCATTTGAATTTAAATGAAATAATTAATTGTAATTTTTTTCTGTATATGTACTGTATATACACGCATTACAAATCTGAAATTAAATTTCCAAAATAAAATTAAACATTTAAAACAAATATTAGCAATCAATAAGTCAAAATTCAAGTATTTTTTAATGAGGTATTAAATGAAAGATTTCTGGGGAAATTATATTTTTTCTATTGTGTATAATGTTACATTTATTTATTAATGTATTTTTCTTATAATTACTAAATATGATTACATTACATAATATTGCATAACTTTTATATATTTATTTGTTATTATGTAATTTATATTTACAATACATTTATATTTAGTAAATGTTATTACATTTATTTATTATCGCATTTTTTCTTATATTTACTAAATATGATTAGATTTATTACATTACAGTACTTATTTGTTTATGCAATAAATCAGCTTACATTTATTTATTTGTTAATGAATTAATTTATATTTACAGCACATTTAGTAAATGTGCTTAGTACCGCATTTTTCTTATATTTACTAGATATGATTAGATTTATTTATTACAGTACGTATTATCACATTTTTTATTACAGCTTTTTATTTTGAAATGCTTCTCATTGGTTGACGCGTACCGTCGGAAACAGTGGCCTCTAGCGGTCAGATGGTCTATTTCACTCAAAAGCGCACCACCTCTCAATAATCACGGCAGTCCTGCTCCGGCGTTCAGAAAATGCGCACCGAAGCACCGGGAAACATCTGCTCAGAAAGCGAACGGGTGCAACATCGCGCATGAATCTGTAACATCCAGCGACTTCTTGGAGCCTCCAGCATCCCTCCTCCTCCAGCACTTACTGGAGATACATACACCTGCCTGTTTATTGTCACCTGCAATATGGAGAGCTGGAGCTGATCGGAATAACCAAAGCCTTAGGAATGATCACTGCTTACTGACTGACCGCTTTAGTTTCCAGCTTTAGAGATGATGCCCGAGCACCAGAACCATGTTGTCACCACTATTGAGACCATGCCATCAGAGACTGTCACCGCATCACCATCGCTGTTTCAGAGGATGAAGAAAGTGTTTAACAGGTAAGAGAAACTACTGGAAATATCCTGACAGCATGTGTTTGGATTTGCTCCTCCACGCCAGCAGACATCAATTCAACTTTGTCCTGCAAGGCACATTTATTAAGATGTTTATTCTGCATTCGCACCTGGTTTGCTCAACCATGTTTACAACAGAGTCAACTGAAGCAATCTGTTCTAATGCACGCATTAGAGTTCCCAATAGTGCATCCAGATGTGATGTTTGTAATGGCTGTTCCAAACTATATCTCTATTTTTATCTATAGAGAGGTGAAGCAAGTACTGTTTTTATATTCATGAGCCATTGGTAGGTTTCTATTGTCATTATTTGTACTATTCATTTGGACCGGGATTTAGGAAATATTAATGTTCTTATGTCAGTTAGTACTGTCATTTCTTAAATTGATTCCTACAAAACATCCATCACATGGTGTTCCTCGGTCTGCATGCATGCAGGGAACATCACCGATTGTCTTTTTTGTAAAAGTCAGGATTCACTTCATCACGGTGACTGAAAGGTCTTGAGGAGAAATGCACACTTTGTCTCTATTGTCTTGTGATGTGTGTGTGTGTGTCCATCAGTCACAAGTGCATGCTGGCACCAGAGGGATTTTCACTTGAACGCCATGCAGTTCAAGTCACAGAAAACCTGTTGTGTATAATTTGGCCCAATAAAACTGCAATCTGAGCAATCGGGCTGAAAATCTACTCTTGATCAGGTTCTAAGGTGGCCAAATTTTGGTTTAGTTTGGGTGGGAGTCAGTGTCAGAAATGAACTTTACCCTTCAGATAGATTATAAGTAGCTTTTTTACCTTTATAAATGCAGATATTTTTAGTGTTTTCAGGTCAAATTTTTGTCTTTTGCATCAAAACCCATCATATTAGCACAAAATGTGTATTAAAGACTGTGAAATGACAGCTACAGGCGAATACACCAAAAAAAAAATGTAACTGCTAGTAAGAAATTAAAAGCAACACACTGAATTAAATGTGAGTTTTTCAAGTAGAAAGTCTGAAGTTGTATTTTCTAGAAAAACACCTTAGTCTTAATTTACAACTTCTACATTTTTTTTTTACAGTCAGTGTACAGCGTCTGCAGTCTCTGAATCCATTTCTAATTGAATCTAGAAAAGAATATAAATAGGAGTTCAAAAAAAAAATATATATATTTTTCAGAGTATTAATTATGCATGTTGTTTGTTAGATAAAGGATAAAAAGCATTTTTTCCTCCCATATTTTAAATGCCAAAGCTTTTGGTAGCTTTTTTGTTGTTGTCGTCTCAAGCCCTTGTTGGTTTTTGATCGTAATTGGGATGTTCTAACTTTAAATGCGCCAGAGGCGTTCTTCTGACTTGTTGGAGTTGTTTTGTCTGGTAATTTGTTTGTCCGTGTGTGTGTAAGGGAGGCTTTAGCTGCTCCAGTTGTGTGTGTGGTTATGCAGAGAGGATGACAGCTGGTAGTCCTAGGTCAGATGAGTCGGGCTGCCCACTCTTTCTCTCTCTTTGCCATCTGCTGGTCCTTTTTATCCTCGCCACTTGCCTTTATCTCCCAGAACAATGTCCCAGGAGGTGGAATCTGTGCAGGGGCAGATCGGGTTGCACGCTGACAGTGGTGGAGCCAGGATGTTTTCATAGGGGTGGCCAGGGAGGGGCCAGCAACCAGTCTGGGGTGGCACAGAAATCTTCATTATTTCAATATAGTTATGTGTTTGACTATAATGTACTGGGCTGCGTTTCTCGATAACGATTGATCTTATAGCGCTTAAGAGCGTTTTCTACGAGTCATTTTACGATCGTTCGTTATTGTTTCACGTGCGTTTCCCAAAAATGAGTGCTGAAATGTCACCTTATAGAATGGCTCATAATTGTAGTACATGCACGTTTATTGAAATGTTAACCTAATGCTGCATTCCAGACAACTCGGATATACTAACTATTATTATATTATATATTATATTATTTATACGTATAATATTATACTTTACATAATTATATAGCCTATAATATACTTTATATAAAAATATATATTATAGTATATAATATCTATATAGAGATGTTATTTCCGAGTCCAATACATTTTCGTGCACGTCAGTAAGTCATTGACTGATTTCCCCCCCAGTCTTTGAAGCATATTTCCTACATTACTTCTTTTATAAATTTTTTTGTTCAGTCGTTTAATTTAGATGT